GGGGAGGAGAGGGAGGAAGATTTCAGTACGGTTTAGACTACTCTTGTTTTCTGAAAACCAGCCTAGCTCGTTCCAGAGAGGCTCATCACCGGGTTTAGGTTGGTTTCTTGGTGGCAACCTGTGAATCAAATTTTTAAAAATGCGAAATATCTCTCAATTTTTAGCAGGCTACTGTCTACTTCCAAGGGGGCGTGGCTGAAAAAGAGGCAGAAGGGGCTAAGAATTACATCGGATTTTTTTAGATTTGTAAACATTACTGTAATGGTAGGTATTTTAATTGTGAGATCCATGTCCAATGACCAGCAAGCACACACAGTAACAACAACAACTTAGGTTTATATAGAGTGTCCCCAAAATCTTACTGCAGTTTTGCTGTAAGATTTAAGCTATTAAAGCTTAAAACTGCACTAAGACTTTTGCGTATAAGTTTTGCATACATCCATATAGATGTATGTGTTTGTGTATATAATTTCATTTGATGCTGACCTGGATCATATTAATACTGTTGTGGTTCAGTCATGTCTACTCTTTTCGACACTATTTGGGTTCTTCTCGGCAAAGATACTGGAGTGATTTGCCATTTCCTCCTCCAGCTCATTTTACAGATGAGAAAACTGAGGTAAACAGGGTTAAGTGACTTGTCCAGGGTTACACAGCTATTATCTGAGGCAGGTTTTTAATTTACAACTTCCTGACTCCCTGCACTCTATCCACTGTGCCACCTGGCTGTCCATATCTATGCTGATAGGGGTACAAAATAAAGCTAGGCTCTGGACTCAGGAAGACTTGGACCCAATTCCTCGCTCTGATAGACACTGACTGGGTGGTGCTAGGAAAGTCACTTAATCTCTAAGTGCCACAGTAACTTTCAAAGACTTCAGCTGGTAGAACAGGTGCTGACCTACATAATAGAGGGAGCTTCCCACAAGAAGTTCCTCAAAGCACTGAATCCTAGGTCCAGTTCAAATATAAATTAATAAAAAAGTTGGTTTTATCACCTATTCAAAGACAAGAAACATTGATCACCTCACATTTCCAGGGTCACGATGAGAATGAGCAAAAAGACCACTAGGAAGGCAATTACAGCTTACTTGCCAACACAAATTGCTGAAGATGAGCCATGGGGAGTATCGTTTGCCTTTCTTTGTATCCACAGCACTTAGCACAGTGCCTGGCATATAGGGGGCACTTCGTAAATGCTAATCAATTGACTCACTGACTGGGGAAGACTATGGACCTCTCCTCAGAAGAATATTTTAAATGCATAAAATAAAATACATAAAAATAGCTAAAATGTGTATAATGTTTACTAGATGTCAAGCACTTTGCTAAGCACTTTACAATTATCTCATTTGATCCTCACAACAACCCTGCGAGATAGGCTCTATCTTTATCCTCATTTTACAGATAAAGAAACTGAGACAAATAAAGGTTAAGTGACTTGCCCAGGGATCAACCCAGCTAGTACGTGTCTAAGACTGTATTTGAACTCTGGTCTACTCCTGATTCTAAGCCCAGCATTCTATCCACTGTACCACCTAGGAATGCAAAGAAAATCAAATATATTTAAATACATTATCAAAATATTTAAGAAAAAATGAGCTTATGAACCCTGGTTTAAGAACCTCTCTCTAAAGGGACCAGAACATTAGAAAACCCCTCCAATTTAATACTCTGAGCTTAGGGAAAATGTGTAGAGAAATGATGGTGAAAAATTTATGTTAGAGAATATGACTCCATAGTAAAACATGAAAAAGGCTTATATGCCATTCTGAAGCCTCTATTTAGGAAGGAACCAGGTTGTGAAAGACTTTAAAAGGCAAGTGAGAACTTGATATTTCATACTAGAGCGGGTTGGGGGTGTGTGTGTGGAAGACTGAATAGGGCAATGTCATGGTCACATCACTCTGATAGCTGAGTGGAGGATGGACTAGAGTGAGAAGAGATTCAAGAAAAGGAGGCCAATCAGAAGGCTTTTAATGGACCGGGCATGAGATGATAAGGGCCTGTACTAGGGTGGTAGCAGTGTCAGAGAAGAATATGAAGAATATGATACCAGAGGATAACATCTAAGCTGTAAGCCTGGGTGACTGGAAGGATGATGGTGTCCTCAAAATAGGTAAGTTAGGATAAAGGGAGAGTTTTGGGGGGAAAGGTTCAGTTCTAGACATGTTGAATTTAAGATGTCTATGAGACATCCAATAAAGGAGAGTGAGATGAAGCAGTCATAGAGGCAGGAGGTGAACCATAACTGTTTTTTGTGTTTCTTTTTTTTTTTTTTGGTGAGGCAATCAGGGTTAAGTGACTTGCCCAGGGTCACACAGCTAGTGTCAAGTGTCTAAATCAGATTTGAACTCAGGTCCTCCTGACTCCAGGGCCAGTCTATTCATAGTGCCACCTAGCTGCCCCTGCCTTCTTTTTAACCCCAGTGCTTAGCACAGTGACTGACACTTAGGTGCTTAATAAATTCTTGTTGACTTGAAATGATCAGGAAAGGATAAGGTTATGAAAACCTAGAGAGAAAACAATATGCAGGAGGAGCGTGAATCTGCTAGAGAAGACTGAAAAGGATGATATTAAGTGTACATGTAGAAGGCCTGGCCTTGGCAAAGAGAAGGACCACATCTTTATCAAAACCCGGAGTAGAGGAGGAGAAAACAGGGGATGATAACAAGAAGTTGTGAAATGAAGACATGGGGAGAAAGAAGTTGTTCATCGCTCCCTAAATCTATTTTGTCAGTAAAGCAGGAGGAAAGGGTTTTAACTACGAGGGTGGAGAGAGGGTTGTCCTGTGAGGTTTAAGGAGAGAAGAGGTTTAGAACAGTCTCTGTGGGGAATAGGACAGAATCAATTAGGAAGGATTAAAAGGAGAGCCCTATGGAGATTACATAACAAGAATCTGTAGTAAACCCAGTCATCACTATTGTGACTCCTCCATCTCTATTCAGGAGCTACTTGGTTTGTTATTGTCCTTCCTGCTCAAAGAAGACCAAAATAACACCACTCCGTTGGGATCAAGGTACAATGTGTCCAACTGTGGCTGATCAGATCAATAGGAGCTCAGAAGACTCTACCGCAGGTAGGGCACAAATAATCCATGTGAACATTTGGAGTGGAGATGTCTCTAAATTTGTGCTTCTCAGGTTTCTTCTGAGCTACTGCAATTCTGCTTTGCTCATAAAGCATGTGTAGGAGCACGTGAGTGGGAGAAGAGGCAGATGGAGGGCTGAGGTTTGGCAAGGCATGAATAGTGACAAGTGATAAGGAGCTAAGGATTTGAGAGTAGAGGTTAGTATAAAGTCAGACTGGTTAACAAAAGGGTCAGATTTAAGAAGGGGGAAAGTAAGCCAGAGCAAGGGTGATAGTCTAGGAAATAACTAAGAATGAGAGAGAATGCAGGTCATGGTGAGAACAAAGAATACTTTTAGGAAGAGTAAGGTATAGGAAAAAAATAAGATGACAAAAGATTATGGTCATATAAAGATCATGGTTCTACAGTACCCTGAGGAAGTGTGGTTTTTCTCTTCTCTGATGCCATCAGTTCTAGTCCATATGAGAGACCAAGTGGGAAATCAACCCTACAAAAATCTAGGGTCCAGCCCGCTCAGTCAAGTTTTGGGGAATACAGTGGACAGGAAAAACCAGGAAGATTCCAGGCACAGTCCAAAATAAATTACTGACCCTTGATTCCCCATAATTTAAGACGGAAGTCCAGAGACCTATTAAGCTCTTTAGGTTTGTAGGACCCACATTCCCCATTTGGATATCCTAATGGCTCCCATTTACCAAGTCATCCACAAGTCTGCCTTGTCAAATGGAGCCCAGAACAATCCCTGGAAGATTAAAGCAAGCTGTCTAGCAATCTCACCCCTTCTATCCATATGATCCTGAAAGGACCGAGTTTCAGGATGTCTCTGTCCACAAAGATCAGCCTGAGTGGAGCCTTGGCAGGCACCAAGGGGTGTCCAGAATCAGCCACTATTAGCTATCTAGAGCTCAGCCACTCATTTATACCACTTTTGAAAAGAAGTGTTTTGCTTCTTACTGGGCCCTAGTTGCCACTGAATAGATGACACAGGGTCATACAACTACTCTTTGTCTACAGTTGTCTGTTATGGGTTGGGTGATACAAGATAGACCCTCTAGCAAGATAGGTAAGGTATAGGAGGCTTCTATTGCTAAATGAAAGTAGTCCATTCAAAATCATGCTTGCCGGGCTGGGTGCCTCTGCTGTTAATGCTCTTCACAAACAGGTAATGACTATGTCAGAAATTGCAACCTCCATTCTAAATCCTGGAATCCTGCTTC